GTGCGGGTCATGGCTTGTGGCTGGCACAGTGTGGGCCATCTTCTCGTGCTGGTAAAGCGTGGGCGACAATCTGATGAGACAACGTAGGGGCGGGTTGTGCTGTCCTCGGCCACGGGCCCCCCTGTTCCACACGCCCCCAGGGTTACGTCGGGCGTGTCCCTCTACAGGAGGGGTATTCAGAAATAGTAGAAACATATTTTTGGGGACGATGTTCTGGAGTAGTTCTTCAATCGTCTCGAATCTGCTTATTTTATGTTGTTTTTCCTTCACAATCCGACTGCAGGGGGACGTGCCCGACCTGACCTTAGCCGCGAGCCCCCCGGGCTCCGCACGCCGCCAGGGCTCTCGAGGGCGACCCGCGCGCCCTGGCCGCCCCGAGCGGCGGGCGCCGCGGGGCCGCGGCCTGGGCGGGCCGCGGCCGCGGGGCCGGCCATGGCCCCCGGCTTGCTGCCCGTGCTGCCCGCGGCCACGCCGCGCGGGGAGCTGCTGCCCGTGGAGCCCGAGGCCCCCGCCGTGGGCCTCTCGGGCAGCTCGGGGGGACGAGGAGGTGCCCACCGCTCTGCCCCTCTGCCCGTTGGCCCCATACCCATACCCATACCCATAGGGGGATCGTTGGAAGGAGGACTGGCTATGGGTATGGGTGCGGGTTGTCGGACCCTGGGAACGCTCCCGTTCGAGCGGGGACCCCCATTCGACAACACGCACCCATAGCCCTCTCCGACCCCCCTATGGGTATGGGTGTGTGTTGTTGGTTCGTCATTCTTGGGGCCTCCTGGGAGGCCCTCGTCGCCGCCGCTGGATGCGCCTCGAAATTCTGGTCGGAGTGCACCCTGGGAGAGGTCCGGGGAGTGGCGGTATCGGTACCTTTGTGCTCTTCCCGGCAGTGGCGACGCGTCCTGACTTTGCTGCAGGCCCACCCAAAGATGTTCTACGAATCTTTGGGTGGTCTGCACGAGGTGTTCTGAGAACATTTCTGGCCGAGACTGCTCTGGTTGAACACATCGGGTTTACGTTCTAAGAACATTGTGTTTGTTCTCAGTCTTGGACTCAAGCAAAAAATCGTGATAGGCCTAAAGGAATGCCAGGACGGTCGGTCCCTTCTCAAGAGGCCCTCGCCGTGGTCAGTGGCATCGCTCGGACGGCGCCACCCCAACAGATAGTCGGCCCGCATAGGAAGGAGGGGCAACTTTCCCAAGGGTGCCCTTGTATCTTTGTCCCCTCTGACCCATCCTTGGCCACCTTCGGTGGCCGCGCCCCGCCCGAGAAGCTTCGACATGGGCGTCCAAGGCCGTTGCATCCGTATCGCGCATCCTTGTGATACGAGCCGGCTGTGCTGACACTATTTGGTGTGTCGCCGCCCCAGGGGGCAACGTGCACACCGAGGAATCTTGTGTACATATATCTATATATTTATATGTATATATGCATATGTGTAGACTGGCGCAGATGTGCGTCGTGGCGCGGAGCTCTCTTGCAACACCGCTCGGAAAACGATCTGCTACAAGGTGGGTATGCTCTATGTTCGGGTCGGGCGCGCTCCTCCAAGGAGGACGCATCAGCACTAGTATGGCTCTGTGCATCCCAGGACGTGTGCATTTTCTCAACAAGGCCAGCGCCAGAAGACCTTGACCAGCCTCATTGGGCCGTCTCGGGGGGGCCGTCTCGGCGGGGAGCAACGCACGGGAAGTGGACGTCTGAGCGATGGCAGGGGACGTAAAAAAGCAGGTTCGTACCCTCAACCTCGCGGGCCAGGCCCCTGTGCCGCGACCCTGCGGATGCTGTGCATTTTTGTCGCGGATGCCCCCCGCGCGTACCGTATCCATGCGACCGCGTGTCCGCGAGATCGCGCCCCGCAATCCAGACCGCGAGGGCGCAGATACGGATATGTGCGCCTGTCTTGGTCCCAGAGGAGGAGTAGGTGCCAATGTTGCTGCTCGAATCACCGCACTGTTCGCTGAGTGGTAGGCCTGGGGGCCTTCACCGTTCCATCCTGCTCGAACGAAAAGCAGACAGATGTGGTCCGGGCCTCCAGGGGTGATTATCTGCGATGTTGCAGTTTTGCTTGCAACCTCAGTTTTGAAGGGATTTATGAGTTGATCGTGAGGTGGGTTGCACCTGGCCAAGCCCAGCTCATCAGTGGGCTCTAAGCCCACTCAGTCTCTTGGGTGAGTTCGATAACGCAGCTGAGCGGGTACCCCACTTAGCCCAGATCCTGTATCCACCCCAAACTACGCAGGGCACGTGCTATGCTGGGCCAGCCCTAAGCCACCTTTACCTTTGGCTCTCCCCTGTGAACTCCCCAATCCCTTTAGCAACCACCGCGGTGATTAAAGCAGCCCGTGCGCGTCGTGAACAGAATTCGCATTGGACTGTTTTGTGTTTTGACTGGCTCAAGGACCGTCAGGAAACGATGCGGGAACAAATGCCAGCCCCGAGACGAGATCGGGACTTCCGGTGGAGCCGTATTGAGAAATGAGAGCAGTTGCTGGTCAGCTACGCGCAAACGACCTTGCAACTCGTGCATGCCGCCCCTCACCTGATTGATACCCCGAGACTGAAGCTGTCATCTTCTGGCGCAAATTGCTGGCCGTATCGTCGACGGTTTCCTCAGTCTTGACCTGACTCTGCGCCGCCTCTGCTTTCGGTCCTTCTCGTCGGCTTCGTCGTCGCCCTCGCCGTCGTCCTCGTCCTCGTCGTCGTCGTCGTCGTCGCCAGCGTGGCCTATCGGTGCCCTCTGGCCCCCGAGGCCCCGCGGGCGAGCAGGCCGAGCCCGCGCCAGCGGCCCCGCCCCGCGCAGCTGGCCGGCGCCGGCGAGGGCGCGGCCGCGGGCGGCGGGGCCGAGGGCCCGTGGCTCGCCAGCCCGGGCAGGTCGTACCTGCAGCCCTCGAGGCCCTTCCTC